GGGAGAGCGCCGCTTTTTTCTTTCGGATTCGTAATCTACGCATCAAAATACGTAAGTACAGTCAAAAATTTTTTCAAAATCGCCGGGTGTCCACAAAACGAAAATTTACCATATTTTATATATTTTGCGCTATACTGCCGTTTCTTCTTTTCTGCTTCCGACATTATTTTGTCTTCAAAAATTCCGAAGTGAAGAATCGAGTATTAAATATTTGCTAATGACACCACTCAAAGTATTCACCACCTCATGCAGAGCACTTTTCCTAGCTATTTGCAAACTAAATTCACTTGTTTTCGTGATATCGTCGAATGACATTACTGGCTGGATGGCGCTTTTATATGAGGCAGCGGGCGGGCCAAGTACTTTCGAGAATAGAGACTAGAAACTTCTTGCTTCGCATTAAAGCTTACCGCCATCTATTGTACATTTTGACAACTATCGGACAGGAAATAGTTGCTGTCTAGTTCCTTAGATGCGTCTAATTCCTTAGAGCGGTAAAGTTTGTGTTGAAAGCAAAAAAAAAATTAAATCAGCCATCGCCCCCCTAAACCGTTTCAACGCCCACAATCTTCTCTGTTTCCTTTACTGTCCCCCTATAGGCCTCCAGCGCCCACAAGGGGGCGTTATCGGCCACTTTGAGAAAGACTTGTATATTTGGATCATTTCTTCTTCCGGTTAAAGGTTTCTTGATGACTTTTTTTATAGCAGAATGAATATGAGAATATAGTTTCTGGATGCTAATGTAGAATATTTCAACCACTTCTGTATAGATGTTCAGATCTCAAATTGAGGTAACATGTCAAGTTTTTGAAAATGTTTGCTTAAATTTTTTCAGTTCTGCAATCTATACATGCCGTTTCTTTTATCATGTGGTACCATTGCTATATTCTGAACCGTAACAGATACGAAGACGATTGAATGGGAAAAATGGTAACTGTCATCGGGAACAATACAATGGTCGCATCACGGAAAAGTCACTATCTGGTGTGGATTTTGGGCTGGCGACGTCATCGGTCCATATTTCTTTGATAACTACTTTGTCCAGATTATCACCGTCACTGACGAGCACTAAAGGTCGATGATTACCAACTTTTTTGGCTTGAATTTGATGATATGGACACCCACGACAAGTGGTTCCATCAGAGCGGCGCTATGCTCATGACACATTGTATATTCTGCACGAGCGATTTGAGGGCATCGTCATCTTAAGTGAAGGTGAACTGGCCACCGATAGGTCTTTCAAACGAATAAAGTAAGTCAAAAATGTTAATTAGCTTTTTAAGAATAATCACATAATATTGTGAGTGTGTTTTGTGTGGCACCCTGCTATACACTTATGCCTTTTCAGGGTTAGCGGGTTTTATGTGTGGTGTCTTGTGTAATGATATCTAGTGTGGTGTTGTTTTAGTTGTCATGTGCTCCTCTTATTTTTTGTCTTTTCGTTGTTTCGTTTGAGTGGTCCGGGTCAGTTGCAGTGGTCATATCATCCGCAAACATCGTAATGTGTCCATCTTCTATATATTGAGGTAGGTCGTTTGTATATAGGAGAAACAGTAGGGGGCCTACAACCGAGCCCTGGGGCACACCGAGTGTTATCTTTTTGGTCTCAGAGAACGACGTAGGATTCTTCTCTCGGTAGTTAGGATA